TGTAACAAATGGCTAATTATGAATATCTGACCGGTCTCTTTTCTCTTGCCCCGCTCCGGAGCGCGGAGCCGGCCGGAGCGCGGAGAGGACCCGGCCGCCCCGGCTTGATCCGCGCTTTTAAGTTATTTCCCCGTCCGCTTCCGGAGGTGTTTCCCAACGCGCTCCCGTTGCTCCGAGGGCAGCAGAGGAAGGGAAGCGGAGGCAGGAAGGCAGCACAGACACTAATCCCGGGAAGCGCGTGCGGAGTGCTGGGAGCCCGGCTCGGCCTCCCCTCTTCCTGAGCGCCCGCTTGGCTTTTCCCTCTTTCCAGGCTCTTCCTCCCCGGCTCAGGTTGGTCGCCCGCCGGAACCGAGATCGGGAAGTTTCTCCCCAAAACCGGCGTTTTCCTCATCCTGCTCCCGGCGGATGCGGGAAGTGCCGGTTCTGTGGGGGAAAGGCACCGCCGCGTTCCCGCTTGTCCCCACGTATTCCTGCCGCTGGGCACCTATGGGTGCGTGTGGAGTGAGCGGGAATGCGCGCTGGGAAAGGGGAGACTCCCTCCCATCCGCGACCGGGATATTCCTCCGGACCGCAGCAGTATTCCTCTTCACCCTTGCACTGATCCCTCCGCTCGCTCCGGAGCCGGGAATGCGCCCGCGGATCCTGCCTTTTCCGCAGGCCGGGAAGCCGAGGGGGGTTCGGGATCCCCCTGCTTCCCGGCTCCGCCGTCCTCACCCAAAAGAGGCCTTAAAGCAGCCGGGATTTGCCGGGAATGTGGCCGGGAGCAGGGCGCGGAGCTCGCTTGGCACCGGCTCCTTCCGCAGGCAGGAAAAATAAGAGAATAAAAAGCCGTTCCGTTTAAAAAAAGCAGGAAGGCGGGAGCGGGAAGGGCTGGAGCAGCATTCCCGCCGCCGCAGCATTCCCATGGCCCCGCTCCACGGATTTTGCCCCCCAAACGGAGGCGGCGCCGCTGCCGCGCTTCCCTGTTCCCTTTTTCCCCTTGTTTTGCGCCGGGATCAAGCGCCAGCCGGGCAGCAATAAGGGACGAGGGGTCCCGGGCGCCCCCCAATCGGCGGTTCCTTTTTTTTTTATATATACCCACCTATATATAAAAAAAGAGAAAAAACTGTATATTAAAGCGTTTGGCTTTCGTTTCGTGTCCGTTCTGTTCCCCGCACCGGGAAGGAGCGTGGGGACCGGGATGCTCCGGGTGCTCTCCGGCTCTTCCCGCCGTCCCGCTCGGCCCTTTCCCACCTCCTTCAGCCCCAGGGAAAGGGCTGCAGTTTGGGGTCAAACCCGGGGTTTTTCCCCAGCGCAGAGAAGGGAAAAACACACACAAAAAAAAAAAAAGGAAAAAAAAAATCCACAAAAATCCCACAAAATCAAGGAGCGGGTCCGGACCCTCCGGAGGCGCCAGTGGATCCGGAGGATCCCCGCAGCTCGAGACACAACATAGTGCTATAAAATAATTTTGTACTGTATTTATTGTGTATAACGATTTTTTTAAAGAATTATGTACATTTAGTACTTCTGTGTAAATTAAATCGCTCTTTTTAAAAACTGCCCCGGCGGCGCTCTGTGTTTCTTGGGAGGGGACGCGGAGGCTCCGGGCGCTTCCCGCTTCCCGGCCGCTCCTGCAGCTCGGCCGGAGCCGACGGCCGGAGCAGGGAATTAACGGCCGGAGCAGATTCCGGGGGGTGGGATGTTTCCCGGTGTTTGGTGCTGCTGGTGCCGGCTGCCCCCCCAGTGCGGGTCCGGTGGGATGTGAATGGGATGGGGAGTGGGATGGGGATGGGAATGGGATGGGGAGCGGGATGGGGATGTGAATGGGATGGGGATGGGATAGGAGTGGGACAGGGGCAGGATGGGGATGAGATGGGAGTGGAATGAGGACCAGGATGTGAACAGGATGTGAATGGGATGGGGAGCGGGATGGGATAGGAGTGGGACAGGGAAAGGATGGAAATGGGATGGGAGTGGAATGCGGACCAGGATGTGAATGGGATGGGGAATGGGATGGGGATTGGAAGTGGGATGGGATGGGAATGGGATTGGGACAGGGATGGGATGGGAGTGGGATTGGGACAGGGGCGGGATGGGAATGGGATGGGAGTGGAATGGGGACAAGGATGGTATCAGGATGGGGAGCAGGATGTGAATGGGCTGGGGAGCGGGATGTGGATTGGAAGCGGGATGAAATGGGGATGGGAGCGGGATGGGATGGGGAAGGAAGCGGGATGGGATGGGAATGGGATGGGAGCAGGATGGGATGGGGA